AGAGATGGTGATGAGCAGGACCATAATAATAATGATGATGGTGATGGTCGATGATGATTCTGATTATGATGATGATGTGATGATGATGCTGTTGATGATGATGGCGACGAGGATGATGCTGATGCTGATGACGAGGGTGACGACGATGGTGCTGATGATGGTGCTGATCATGACGATGTTGATGACGATAACGATAAGAGATTGTGATGATCAGGATTCTAGTAATAATGATGATGATGGTGATGATGCTGACGATGACGACGATGGTGGTGGTGCTGGTGGTGGGTGGGGTGAGGATGATGTTGATGTTGATGGTGATGATGCTGCTGATGCTAATACTTGTGCAGATGCGGGTGCTGATGTTGCTGCTGTTGCTGGTGATGATGCTGATGATGCTACTGATGATGCTGATGATGATGATGATGATGATGATGATGATGATGATGATGATGATGATGATGATGATGATGATGCTGATGATGATTACAGTGGGGACCCATGCCAAGAAACCCTGCCTCAAGGGTGCCGTGGGTTTCTTGGGTTTCGGTGATTTTGCGATGGGAAGCGTGCCTCTCCCACACCAACAATCAGTGAACGTCCTGGTGTCTCAGGGTTGGTTGGGTTTCTTGTGAAAGGTTTCTTGTGGACTGGCCTCCGCTGCTTTATTTTGGTGATTCTGATGGTGATGGTGATGATGGTGGTGGTGATGATGACAACAAGGAGGACGATTCCCCGCCCCTCCCCTCCTCCCCTTCCTCCTTCTACCGTAAGGGCTTCGCCCCATGCCGCCAGCCCCTTGTCTCGGATAATGGGAGATGCAAAGGCTACATCATGAGGTCTGGGCGCCGCCGTGAAGCAGTGTCGGGACCTGCTTGTTTTTCGACCCTGACCTTACGATCTGCGTGATGGGGTGCCGCCGAATTTCAGAAATGTGGCAAATCCCATATGTTTTTGGACCCTGACCCTACGGGTCTGCATGAGGGGTGCCAGCAAATTTAAGAAATGTGGCAAATCCCATGTGTTTTTGCGCCTTGACCCCGCCGATCTGCATGAGGGGTGCCGCCGAATGTCAGAAATGTGGCACATCCCTTGTGCTTTTTAGACCCTGATCCTGCCGATCTGCGCGAGGGGTGCCACCGAATGTTAGGAATGTGGCAGATCCCATGTGTTTTTGGACCCAGACCCCGCCGATCTGCGTAAGGGGTGCCACCGAGTTTCAGAAATGTGGCAAATCCACTTTGTTTTTGCGCCCTGACCCCGCCGATCTGCGTGAGGGGTACCACCGAATTTCAGGAATGTGGCAAATCCCTTGTGTTTTTTGGACCCTGATCCCGCCGATTTGCATGAGGGTTGCCAGCAAATTTAAGAAATGTGGCAACTCCCATGTGTTTTTGGACCCTGACCCCGCCGATCTGCGTGAGTGGTGCCACCGAATTTCAGAAATGTGGCAAATCCCCTGTGTTTTTGGACCCTGACTTCGCCGATCTGCGTGAGGGGTGCAAATTTTTATCCACCCAGCAATTCAGATCACACGCTCAGGGCGTGGTAAAAATGCATGTTTTCAGCCTCCCCCCCTCGCGCGGTCCATCAATAAGGAACAGTAAGCAGCAAGAAGTCAACAGGGAAAAGGAAGCAGCAAGAAGCAGAACTGTAACGGTGGAAACTGGAAGCTGCAACTGGTACAGGAAATTGCGAACCTTCGCCCTGCAGCCTGGTGGCCCCACAAGGGGGCCGGCGGATATTCCGCCTCCTCTCCATTCACCCTCCAACACTACTCTCCTCTCTCCCTGGTGACGTCCGGGAAATATTCGGCCCCCCTTCGCGTACTGTCGTTTTACAAGCAGGATTCCCAGGAAACGGGTTTTCGATCGGGTTTTTGTTTCCAAATGCTGCTCTCGCTCAAGCGCTGGCCTCATTTTCAGGCTACCGCTCGTTCCGAATAGTGCTCCCGCTGCATCGCTGGCCTCATTTCCGCGCTTCCGCTCGTTCCGAATCGTGCTCCCGCTGCAGCGATGACGTCATCATTTCCAGCGCCATGCCACAGCATGGTTTCCGGTCCTTCCAAATAGGGCCCAAAATCTAGAAACTGCTCCCCGAAACAACCATCGAACGTGATTATACATTCGGTGTCGATTCGTTGTTGTTTGGGGCCGCAGGAGCCCCCCCCAAGCACCTTGGGGCGTCGCCACGCTATGCTATGTCAGGCTACGCGTTGATCTTCAACACCATGCTATGCCATTTAATGCCATGCCCTGCTACGACATCCGACTGTGCGAACAGAGAGGATATCCACGCCATGGTAAGGGACGGGAGGGAGGGATATGACGTCGGACGCGAGCGCACCTAGCTTGCCTCCTCATCCCCCTCTCCTGTCTACCGCCGTCCCGTCTCCCCTTTCCCATCCCATCCCCGAGGACGACATCGGCGCTCGCGACCGTCGCATCGCCGAGCTGGAGGCGGGCCTCCGCCTAGCGGAGGAGATGGCCCCCTCGCCCACCCGCCGCCGAGCCCATGAGGCGGAGGAGGAGGAGGAGGCGGAGGAGGAGGAGGAGGAGGAGGAGGAGGAGGAGGAGGAGGAGGGCGGAGGGTCGCAGGGGCTTGCCTCCCCGTTCCTGCTCCAGAGGTTCGGGGCCGAGGCGGCAGGGCAGCCCCACCACCGCAGGCCTGGCTGCCTCGGCCAACAATGCATTTGTGAGCTCCTGCTGCCACCTATGGTCGCCACTGAGCGACGCCACTAAGGGAGGCAGAGCAGTAGGCGCAGCGGCCGGAGAGGAGGATTAACAGGTGTCTCCGTCCAACTCTGCGCGGACTGGCGTCGTTGCTCGTCCTGCTGCCGCACGAGCTCGAGCGCCAGCTGCGCGCCGTGGAGCTCGTCGAGGCGCCGTCGTTGCGCGCGGTCGAGGGCGGCGCGCGCGTCGCGATCGGATCGGCCGCAGCCGGACATCCGCCCACCAAAACACCCCAACCCAACCCGAAGGCCCCGATTTGCCCTCCATTTCGAGATGGGGGGGCCGTGGAACATTGAGAAAACACATATGAAGCCCGTACCCCCTCCCAACCCGAAATTCGGGTCTTCGGGTTAGGGTGGGGTGGTCTTGTAGGTAGTTATGCTGGAGCAACGTTCCACGGTTTCGGCTCCAAGGAGCCAACCTTCTCAGCGTCGGCAGGGGCAGCCACAGGCAAAGGTGCTGCGACCAAGGGCCAGTCTGGCAGGGGGTTTGCTCCCGGTGGTGCTACATCCGCCAAGTGTCCAACGTGTGGGCGCAGTTTCTGTTCAACCCGCTGCAAACGGTGTTACCACTACAACTGGTGCTACCGCTGCAACTGGTGCTACCACTGCAACAAAAGAAAGCAAGACGGAGTACCACCTGAATTTGAAGTTACCCCTTTCCGCACGCTCTTGGCCGCGAAATCACACGGCAAGATGTTGCCTGAACTGGCCCTGGAATCTGGCTGCAATCGCACGGTCAAGCTCCGCGCCATCCTGGGCAAAAAAGGACGACCTGGGCCTGCGCGAAGCTGAGCTGCTCATGCAGTTTCTGGAATTACCTAGGCGTGGTGGTCCGTTTCGTAAGCATTGGCGCCGGCAATGCGATTCCTGACAGGTTCTTGGCGAATCTTGCAGCAGCTGCACTAGTGGCTGCGCCAGGCCAACGCAGAGTAAATATTCTTGCTCGTGCGCTCTCTTTCCTTCCTGAGTGTGTCCTTCCTGTATAACTGCAAGATCGTCGCCAGCGGCGTCAGGAATGGCTGGGCCGGTGTGATGAGGCAGGAAAGGACGCGGCCAACAAAATGCTGTTTTCGCATCTTCGGGGGACGGAGCACAGGCGGGGGGGCACTGCGGAAGGAAGAGATGGTTTTTCTAGTGCTCTCCCAGAGCGTATGTTGCAGCAGGAAAAGGACTCGCAGGCGGCACGGGCCGCCCAATCTGAACGAGCGCTACCTGTCGACAGATCAGGACTTGGGCCAATAATCGCTCCTCCTCCTCCTCCTCCTCCTCCTCCTCCTCCTGAGCTTCAGGCACTCCGGAAGATTTCGAACAAAGTTCAAGTCCCAAACGTGCACGCCTGACAAGCTACGCCCTATGCGCTTCAGCACGTCGTGCCCCAGTACCCTCAGCGCCCTGGCTCTCATCTCTCACTCGATGGACGTTTTGGGCGCGGTCCCGACGCGGCCCAGCGCATTGCGCTTCTTTTGCTGCAGAAGCCGACCACAGGTCGGAGGCCGCTAAAACCTCGAGGAGGAGGAGGGCGGATGAGGATGAGGATGAGGATGAGGATGAGGATGATGATGATGCTGATGCTGCTGCTGATGATGATGATGATGATGAGGAGGAGGATGATGATGATGATGCTGATGATGCTGGTGCTGATGCTGATGCTGATGCTGATGCTGATGATGATGATGATGATGATGATGATGATGAGGAGGAGGAGGAGGAGGAGGAGGATGAGGAGGAGGAGGGGGGGGGGAGGGGGAGGGGGAGGAGGACGAGGGGGAGGACGAGGGGGAGGAGGAGGAGGAGGAGGAGGAGGAGGAGGAGGAGGAGGAGGAGGAGGAGGAGGAGGAGGTTGGAGGAGATCCAGCAGCGCCTCGACTGCACGCCTTCATTGCAAGCGAAGTTCAATCGCCTACCGTGTCGAGCTCAGGAGCGGGCCCACTGCGCGGGCCGCTTCTTTTCCATGGCATACGGGCGAGGGGCCCAGGACACGTCGTCGTCGTCCGTCGTCGTCCTCGTCGTCCTCCTCATGCTCGTTCTCCTCGTCGTTCACCTCGCCCTGGTCCTCGTCCTCCTCCTTCTACTCCTCCTCCTCGCCCTCTTCCTCCTCCTCCTCTTCCTCCTCCTCCTCCTCCTCTCCTAGTCTTCCTCGTCTTCCACGTCCTCGGTGCGGAGAAGTGCGGCACGGGTAGAATGGTGTTCAGGTGAATCCTGTGTTCTCGGGGATTCCGTGCACTTTTGTGGGAGAACATCTTGTGTTGAGACGATAGACGTGGCGTCCATGACCGGCTTCGCGTGCCCAGTCGCTTCTGCAGTCCAGCATCCGTCACGCTATCCTCTATATTACGCTGTAGCGCAGCGAGAGGACGCCGCCGAGGAGGCCGAGGCGGTGTCGTGCCCCCCCCCGCCCGTGAGGACACCGCCGAACAGGCGGAGGCGGGGTCGTTCCCCCCCCGCCCGTGAGGACACCGCCGAGCAGGCGGAGGCGGGGTCGTGCCCCCCCCCCGCCCCCGCCCGTTCGCGCGCGCGCAGGAGTCGCAGCGCCGCTACCCGCCGGAGGCGCCGCTGACCCTGCCAGAGGCCGAGGCGCGACAGGGGAGGAGGAGGGAGCAGGGGGGAGGCGAGAAAGGAGGAGGAGGAGGAGGAGGAGGAGGAGGAGGAGGAGGAGGAGGAGGAGGAGCAGGAGCAGGAGGGAGGGAGGGAGGGAGGGAGGGAGGGGGAGGAGGTCAGGAGGGAGGAGGGAGGATAGAAGAGGGAGGAGGGAGGAGGAAGGAAAAGGGAGGAGGAGGAGGGAGCATGAGGACAGGCGCGGCCCGCGGATCGGCCGCCCGCGACCCGCGTTATGGCCTGCAAGTTGAACGGCCTAGGAGTAGGAGGATACTGGAGGACGAGGATGGGGAGGACAAGGACGAGGAGAGCGAGGGCGATGACGAGGAGGATGACGAGGGCGAGGGGGATGACGAGTTCGAGGAGGAAGAGGAGGAGGAGGAGGACTCAAGTTAGGCAGGTCGAGCGAGTCCGAGGGCCCACTTATTCCCTTCCTCCCCTCAGCAAGATGGCACAACTTGAGATTTGGATTGGAAGGCCGCTCGAGCGCGGCTGCGCTTCCGACGACCTGGCGAAGGGGAACTACGTGGGCCGCGCTTGGGCGGGAGCGTCGAAATTGCCGATGGGCGCGGCGAAGACGAACCATGCGCCGCGCCGACACAGCACTGCCGCTTTCACTCGAGAATGGCGCGGCGCTTGGGCGAGGTCGGCATCTCGCTCGCCCCGCTGCCGCTGCGGCTTCCATGCGACTCGGCGAGCGGACCATGCGCCGCGCCCGCGCGGGAGCGCCGCTTCCGAGCAACACGTGCACGGAATTTGGGCGAGGGCGACAAGTCGCCCGTTCGCGCGGGCCCTGTGGCGAGTGAAGACCGTGCGCCGCGTCGAGGCGGGAGCGCCACTTCGAAAGGCGACATCTGCGCGGCGCCGAGGCGCCAGAGCGGCGTGCTCGACCGCCCGCGCGTCGACGGAGTTGCGTGCGAAACATGTGCGCCGCGCCCAAGCGGGAGCCCAGCTCTCTAGAACATGAGCGCGGCGTCGTGGCGAAAGCGACATTTCGGCCTTTCGCGCAGTATTGCGCCCCATCCCGCTCCTAAATGGACGCCGTCCTGTCCATGTTGAGACGAACAGGCTTGGTATGGCTCGTCGCACATAGGATGGATGGTCCCGGATGTGTGGGTTATCGGCCGCTAGTGGGGCAGAGCAGGAGTGTCTATTAATCAAGAAAAGGATAGATCATAGTCGAGTGAAGTAGAGTATAGTAGGTTAGAGTAGAGTAGGCTAGGATGGGGTAGGGTAGGCTGGAGTAGAGTAAGGTATGGTAGAGCAGGGTAGACCCCTGAAACCCTCCCCAGGCATTCGGTGCTTCTGTTTTGCTTAGTTTTGTTCAGCGCGGCGTCCCTGGAGCTTTCGTCCGCTTCCCGGGGACGACTTTTGTGTCCTGGACTGTGCCATGCTTGTCCTCTGGAGACCGGAAGCGGCCCCTGCAGGCTGCACATCACGAGAACTCCGTGTCTTCAAATAATTGCATGTCGTTGAGGGTCTTGGCCCTTCCTCGCCCGTGCCTCTCTCCCCTCTCGGGCGGGGGCAGCATATCCAGATCCCCGGCCTCGCGGGCCAGGCCCCTCGAGCGGCGACCCCCTGGCTGCGGAGAGTGTCTTTCGTCGTGGCTGCTCCGCGCGGTTTTTGTTTTTCCATGCGACCGCGCACCCACGAGGTCGCGTCCTCGACTCCAGGCCGCGAGGGCGTGGGCATGGTATGGCCGCCGCTCGTGGTCTCCAACCCCTCTGGAGGGTCCACGTTCCCGCCCCTCCTGGAGGCGGACTTTTTTTAAATAAGACTCATGCGAGTTTACTTCCACTGCAGTCCCCCCCCCCCATCCGGCCCTCCGCTGCCTTTTTCGAACAGCGCTGGGTCGAAAAGTCGCGCACGCGAGTCCCGACTTGCGCGAAGTCCGGATCTCCGTTTGGCCTCGCCACGATCTCCCCCCTTCACATCCGGCGTCACCCCAACATACTCATACTATATGTGCGTCGCCCCCCCAGGGGCGACGCGCGCACCGAGACATCTTATAGTATGTGCGTCGTGGTGGACGCTTTCTGGCCACACCCCTCGGAAAACGATATGCGACAAGATGGTCATACTATATGTTCGGGTCGGACGCGCGCCTCCAAGGAGGGCGTATCTACTTTTTATCAGAAGGGGTGGTCCTAGAGGTGTTGTGCGAAGTCTTCTGCGGGATGCCTTGTGTGGACTTTTGTGTTGGGCTCTGGGCGTCGATCCGCGCTCTCTTGCTTCGTTCCTGCCCTCTGAAGGCTGCGGTTGTTCAGTGAACAGTCTGCGCGTCGTGTGCGCGACCACTCTTCGCTCGACCACTGCTTCTGTTAAGCATCACAGCAGCACAAGCATAGCATGGCAGACTTGCTGGAATCCAGAGCACATGCGGCCTCCCTCCAACCCTCCCTGCCTGGGCCCGTGCTCCTGCCCCCTCCTCTGCCGCGGCCCGCCCACCCGCCTCCGGGGCCTCTCGCCCAGGCCCGGCCCGCGCCGCCGCCGCGGCTCCTGACCGCGGAGGAGAAGATAGCGGAGGCGGCGTGCCCGTGCTGCGTCGGGGCTCGGGAGACGGGGTGTCGGTGCAAGCGGGGTCGGTCAGGGCGTCGGTTCTTGCAGGGTCCTGCAGAGCCAGGGCTGCACTGGCCCCAGGCTTGGTGCAGGATTTGCAGGACCCTGCAAGAACCGACTGACACGGGTCTGGATTGACCCCGGTCCGTAGATCCCCGAATGCGTCTTGCTGGGGGGCTCGAAAACCATTTTTGAACCATGTTGGGGCTTGCCTGGAATGTATGTCCTTAGGAGGGCATCGCTACCATAAAGACGGGGAGTCGCCCCGAACGGCGGCCAGAGGCTCGAGGTGCGAGGTTCGAGGATTCTCGGGCGTTGTCATCGTATCTCGGCGGTTCTGCCAGCCTCGGTGTGCTCTTCAGCAGCCGCGCCCCGCCGAGGGCGCTCCGGGAGTGCCCGGACCGCCCCGATCGGCCGCCGGAGGCCACGTCCATGCATGGCCCGAAAGTTGCCAGGGCGGGGATGGGCTCAGGGGTCGGAGGTGGGCAGACCTCCTACCCTGACACGTCGATGAAGGCATTGGCCGTTTTTGGTTCGCGAGAGGGCGTCGCGGCCGTCGTTTTGGCGGGTCCAGGTCCGGCGGTTTCGGTCCCAGGCCGTGTTCACGAAAGGGCGGTTTACGAAAGGGAGGTCTGTCCACCGCCGACTAGGGGGGGGGGGGACGCACCTCGACCCTCCCCTTCCATCGCCGGGCAGCCCACGCCCCGCCCAGGAGCGCCCGGTGTCAAGTTGGCGGCGGCGTGCTGCCGATCTGTCGGCGAGGCGCGTCGCCGCCTGCAGGTCGATGCTTCCCCCTGGGAGCGGGCCCCCTCCCCCCCTGGGCGTCCCCCTGCAGCTCACAGGGGCACGGGCTCAGGCGATCGCAAGCATGATATGGAACAAGGGGGCGTGGATTAGCGACGGGTCCCGCTTCCATGGGAGGTCGCGGGCTTCCGCCGCCGAGCGAGGCGGCACCGATCGCATTTTGGGGAGGGAACATCCCCCGATCCATGGACGTGGCGATCGCGCGCCAAATCCATGGATCGCTAATCTTACGTCGGGCCTGTCCCTCTACAGGAGGAATGTTCCAACATAGTCCCAAAATAGTCGGGGGACGATTTTTTGAGCATTTTTTGATTAGTTTTGGACATTTTTGGAGTATCTTCATTTGTCGCCCAAATTTCCCGGTAGGGGGACAGGCCCGACCTAACGCTAATCCATATTTGCGTGCCCCCTGCCCTCGCGACCCCCTGCAGCTCCAGGGCACAGGCGGGGTGTTCTCGGGCGGCCCCCGGGAGGGTGGGGGCGCCGAGGCGGTGGCGCTCTCGCGCCGCGCGGCCCTGGGGCCGCAGGGAGGTGCTCTTCCTCTTCGAGGGTTAAGTCGGGCCTGTCCTTCCACAGGAGGAATATTCAAAAATGCTTTAGAAATAGTCAGGGGACGATCTATGATTATTATTATTCTTATTTCTGACTATTCTTGAGAATAGTTTAGATAGTTGTTTATTGTGTCGTTCGAAACCCTCCTATAGGGGGACACGCCCGACCTAATTCCAGGGTTCGGCGGCGCGAGGTTTCGCAAGGATCAAGCAGTGGCGAAGCGTCCCAGCTCGTCCATAGGCCAACCAAATAATGTTCCAAGAACCTTCTCTGGTCTTAACGAAATGTTCTCAGAACGTTTCTGGCTGAGGCGGTCTTGTTTCAACACATCGGGCTTATGCTATAAGAACCTTTCTTTTGTTATTAGAGCACTTTTGGGTTCTAAGAACATGTTGTGGTAGGCCTAGAGGAATGCCGGGACGATAGGTCCCTGCTCAAGAGGAGGGGCGCGGGGCGCGGAGTTGGGCGGCCCAGGGGTTAGCTGTTTGTTGGATGTTCGTGTTGGCCATCCGCGCGCCTGTGCAGTGTCGTTGGCGTCCTCGCTCCGCCGCCCTGCACCCCGGCACGTGCCCTGAGCGCGGCCGTTCGCGTCGCCCGCGTCCTCGAACGGCCCCGCTGCCCAAGAGCACGCCCACGCCTGCGCCGCTGCCGCCCGCAGACTCGCCGCCGTGTGTGGACCGCGGAGTGCCGCTCGAGCCCCCGGGTGCGCTCGCAGCACACCTCCATGGGCGCTCCTGAGCGCCTGGCACAGTTTCGTTAGCTGTTCGTTGTGGGGGACCCTCATGGGGCCCACCTGGCGGATCTAGCGCCCGGCTCAAGCTCGATTCCAGCTACATTAAAGTCGACCGATGTTCGACGCAGCATCGTCGCACGGGTATTGGAGAGAGCGGCTCCAGGAAGGTTCCCAGAGCGAGCATCTACGGTCGGGAACCTTTGTTTAGCGTGTCGCGCCACCAGTTCTGGCCCATCTCGCTTCGCCGCGGCACCCTATCCACTTCGCGGTCCCCGGGCGTCCACGTGCCGAGCTCTTCCTGACCTCCCACCCCGCGGAGCGGAGCGGCACGCTACCCGCCTGCAGGGCATATCGTGTCGCCAGGGCCGCCGCCGCGACATCGGTGCCACACCCCGACAGACTGATACTACGTGTGCGTGGCCCCCCCAGGGGCGACGCGCGCACCGAGAATTCTTACAGTATGTGCGTGGTGGCGGGCGCTTTCTGGCCACACCGCTCGGGAAACGACATGCTACAACATGGGTACACGCTGTGTTCGGGTCGGACGCGCGCCTCGAAGGAGGGTTCTTTGTGCGTCCCACGACACGCTAAGCAACAATTTCCGACCGTAAGTTGATAGCTTTCTATGCGTTGTTTTGCCGATCCCCGCGGGCCCTTGCACCCCTCCCCTTCCCCCCCTATGCAGTAGATCTTGGCTGTTCCTGGCGCCTGTCTCGAGCAGGCGGAGTCTCCCCCATAGGACGCACTGCTGCAAACAGTCGCATGAAGCAGAGGTCCGGAGCGAGCCATCAGCGGTGCCTGATCACGTGCGGGCGCAATCTTGACGTCGTAGCAGAAGCCAGGCGATGCATATACACAGGTTCAAGCTTCACCCCTAAAGCCACCCAACCACAAGACGGATTGACTTTCGATGTGCAAAAGCCCACATTGATTTCACCCTCAGCCCTCCACCCTAAGACAATGCTCAGTCAATGTCGAAACGCCACATGCGAAAACGTCTGTAAGCTTCCTGCGCTCCTTTGGGAGTCCCCGCGCAGGCGTTCCGCGCCCCGCCCGCCGCCACGCGGCGGCGGCTGCTCCACGGGTCGCGGCAGGGCGCCCGGCACCTTCGCCGCCGGCTGCTGCCGCGGGCACAGGAAGACGACCCCGACTTCGCCACTTGGAGCGGAGGTCAGAGACGAGCATTAGCGAGCACCGTGCCCTCGTCCGACGCCGCTTGGGCTGAAGCGACATCGCCGTGAAGTAAGCGGGTCCAGAGGGAAACCAGTCCTGAGGTGATTTGTTGTTTTTGGCTTCCTGGGGCCCTCGACGGCGCCTGGGGCTGTTAGAAGGTTGGTTCCGGGGACGGCCCCAGGAGCCCGGGACCCGTTCGCCTCGTGCCAAACCTTGTCCTCAGTGTCCCCGCCATTGTCCATGTCGCTGCAGCTGCAGCTGCTGCTGCTGGTGCTGCTGCTGCTGCTGCTGCTGCGCCGGGCTGCTGCGCAGTCCCCTGCGCGTTCAGTTGGACGAGCTGTTCGGTGAGCGCCCTCCTTCTGCAGCGGGTGCTCGAGGGCCGCCAGCGTGCCCGAGGCCGCCTGCGGCACTGGATCCCGTGGAGCCGGGCTCGAGGGCCGTGCGTTTGCGTTCGGCATGGTCTCGAACGCGCTTAGGCCTTGCCTGCCAGAGCGCAGTCGATCGCTCGAGGGGCTGCGGGCGCTTTGGCCGCAGGCGCTCGACTGGGTGGCCGCGCGACGGGGAGACGGAGACAATTTGTTTCCTCCGTTCTCCGACCGGCGGGGCCGTTTGTCCGCGATTCGTGCGAATGGGATGCCATTCTTGAGGGGTAGCGAACTTTTGGATCTGCCTTTCGTGGTTGTTGCCTGTGGTAACAAACATTTTGATCCCCCTGGCGACAGCGGGCGGGTAACTGGGGGGCGAGGCTGACGGGAGGTAGGGGGTTGGTCACGTCACAATTCGCGCCGGCGCGGCCTAGGAATGCTCAGGAACTGCTGATTCCTAGACAGCGCCGCCGCGAATTGGGACGCTGCCAGGCGGGAGGGAGGAGGGAGAAGGGGGAGGGCGGAGGGGGGCGGCGCCGGTAACGGGCGCTATCGCGAATATTTGGATAATGGACTCAAGAAGGCTCGGAGCTCAGGGGCAACGTTAGGGGGGGATAACTAGGCTCATCGACACCCGATCGCCCACTGATCGCCGACAGGGGGCCCTGATAACCCACCCCGCCCAGAAGCGTGCGGTCTCGCCTTCGGGGGCCCACGGCCGATACATTGGTGACGTATCGCCGATTCCAGGCTCGACGTTCCCCTCTCAGCGAGGTGGAGGGAGGAAAAATGAGATAGGGGGAGTGAGATAGGATGAGGAGGAAGAGGAGGAAGAGAAGGACCGAAAGCAGGAGAGGGAGTTGGAGGAGGAGCAGGAGGGGATGATGATGATGCTGCTGATGATGATGATGACGATGATGATGACGGTGATAGTGATGATGATGATGATGATGATGATGATGATGATGACGATGTTTCTGATTATGATGATGCTGATGCTCAGGATGATGTTGATTATGATGGTGATGGTGATGGTGATGATGACGATGCTGATAATGATGACGTTGATGATGATGCTGCTGATGACAATGGTGATTGTGATGCTGATTATGCTGATGATGATGATGCTAATGATGCTGATGATGATGGTGATGTCGATGCTGATGATGATAATGATACTGATACTGATGGTGGTGATACTGATGATGATGATGATGACGATGATGATGATGATGATGCTGATACTGATACTGCTGCTGCTGCTGCTGCTGCTGCTGACGATGCTGTTGCTGGTGATGGTGATGGTGATGATGCTGATGATGAGTATGCTGAGGCTGATGATGATGCTGCTGCCGCTGCTGATGCTGATGCTGATGCCGATGATGCTGCTGATAATGATGATGATGATGATGATGATGATGATGATGATGATGATGATGATGATGATGATGGTGATGGTGATGGTGATGGTGATGGTGATGGTGATGATGATGCTGATGCTGACGATGCTGATGATGATGCTGATGCTGATGGTGATGATGATGATGCTGCGGATGCGGATGCGGATGCGGATTCTGATGCTGATGCTGATGCTGATGATGCTGATGTTGATGCTGATGCTGATGATGATGATGATGCTGCTGATAATGATGATGATGATGGTGATGATGATGCTGATGATGATGATGATGATGATGATGATGATGATGATGATGACGACGATGATGGACGATGAGGAGGAGGAGGAGGAGGAGGAGGAGGAGGAGGAGGAGGAGGAGGAGGAGGAGGAGGAGGAGCGATGATTTCCCCTCCCCCCTACAGTTCCCCCTCAGGAGAGGGTGGGGGGGGGGAAGGCCGGGGCAGACGCCGCGGCGCGGGCGCGCGGCCGCGGGCGCGCCGGGGAGGTGGCGGCGCTGCTGCAGGCCCAGCGGCAGGAGCAGTTGGTCGGTCGAGCTGTCGTCGTCGTCGTCGTCCTTTTCTTCTTCGTTCGTGGAGGGGGGGACGGGGAGGAGGATCGAGTGGGCAGATGTGCCGATTTTGCTGCCCATCGCTCGTCGCCACGGCTGGATTCGCTTCGAAATCCTGGTCAGAGCGCGTCCACGGAAGGACTGGAACGAGTATCGGTTCATCTTGACCCCCCCAGAGGCGGAGGAGGAGGAAGGATGAGGAGGGGGAGGAGGAGGAGGAGGAAGAGGAAGAGGAAGATGAGGAGGACCAGCGGGAGCACACGGTACGTCAAAAATGCTGCGTAACACATCCCGTGCCAAGTCCGCTCCACAAGATTGGTGTCTTGGCTGTTCCCGCAACCCGTGTTTGCATTTTAGGAGATCTGTTCACAATGTTGTGAGGGAATCGCACGCGGTGTCGCGTATGGCCGTTCCGGTGTTTGCCTTCCTTCGTGTCGCATTCTGCCGTCTCCAGTCGTCGCTTTGTGGTCAATTCGTTGGTGCCCTATGAATGGCCCTCTGCTCTGACTGGTGCAGATTGCACTTCTGCCGTATGCTTGGCCCGATGCGCGGTGCCCTACGGCTGGTGCTCTATGCGCTCGTGCTCTTGTTGGCATTCTAGGCCGCAGGTCGGCCGCTCGTTGTCGGTGCCCAATGTGTTGGCGGCCTACAGTGGAAGCTCATGCCACGAAACACTCTGCTTGCATCCAGGATGCCCTGGGTTTCTGGGGTTTCGATGGGTCGCCATGGAAAGGGTGACTTCCCCGCATCAAACATCGGTGGACGCTTTGGGGTCTCAGGGTTGGGTTTCTTGTCGAAGGTTTCTTGTGGTCGAGCTCCTACTGTATGATTCCCTCTGTGTCCCAGCCAGCCGTTCCCAGGCGGTGCCTTGCCCTATCGTCGGTGCCTTATGGTTGGTGCCCTACGGTTGGCACCAGCCGCAGGGCGCGAATACGCATGGCACTGCGTAGAGTGCCGCACGTATACTTCACTTCGTGGCTTGCTCCAGCTAGATTCTCGTTTTTAGCCAAAGAATGAGCTCTGCCCCCCTCCCCGAATGCGGCGTTCTCGGTACCACCCGAGGTAGTACACTTTACGTCTGATTCTGCCTCATCGCTCATCTTCCATTTGGAATCATACCACCCAGCCAGGCTGGTACCTACACTTCCCTTCATCCCTGCCGAATGATACCATGCGCGCACACCCGTTTATCTCAAACGATTACAGTTTTCAATGATTCGCTGGCCCAGCGGGCCAGAGGCGTGCTAAAATCTTTGGTAACAGGCTTAGAACCGTTCTAGTTCGCGCGCGCGCGGGGCCGCCCCTGGGTGTCCCTGGACCGAAAAACTCCTGGCAAGATCGCCCCCAGGATGCCGGAACGAGGTCGTCGGGCCGAGGCCTCCAAGGCGGTCCAAGAGGGCCCCGAATCGCTGAGTGCCTCGAGAGACCCAAATCAGTGATTTTCATAGGGTTTCTCAATGTTTCTGGAGTTTTCGACTTCTCGAGCGTATGACGCTCCAGGACGTCCCAAGCGGCCCAAACGCCCGCCCCAAGACGGCCCCAGGAGGAGCCCCCAAGTGGGCCCCAAGACGGTCCAATATGCGCCCAAGACGGCCCAATAGGCGCCCAAGATGGCCCAAAAGGGCGCCCAAATTGCCCCAACAGTTGCCCATGAGGGGGAATATGACCCGCAAACTCAAGCCTTCCGCCCCAAGAGGCGCCCAGGAGGCTACAAGAGGCCCCCAAGAGGCTCCAAGAGGCCCCCAAGAAGCCCCCACTTGGAGGCCCCAAGAGACCCCAAACAGCCCCGCATGGGCTTCAGAACTGCCTACAGGAGTCCCCCGACAGGCCTCGATGAGATCCCGACGAACATCCAAGAGGCCTCAGACCTACCATCCATGCACGCTGGCGGAATGGGTGAAGGCCATTAGATATGTCAGCCACGCGCAGAGAGTGGTGGGGGGAGGGGGGAGGGCATCTTAGAAGCACCCCTGTTTCTTAGAAGGCGTGGGCCTTATCTATAGGTGTAAGGCCGGCGCCTTCTAAGAAGCAGCCTCCTAAGACGCCTTCCCCTCTCCCTCCACCCCCTTGTGCGCGCCGCCAAGTCTGGGCCGGCGGAGTGAGCGAAGTGATTCAATTCGGCGTGCCGGCGCCGGAGGACGGCGTCGGTGGCGGTGGCCCGCGGAGTGGGGGGGGGACTGCGGCTGCGGCGCGAAAGGGATAGACATGTCGAGGCGGAGGGGGGCACGGGGCTGCTGGAGGGCAGCGGGGGCGGCGGGCGGTGGCGGGGGGCCTGCGGGGGAGGCGGGCGGGCTGCGAGGCGGAAGAAAAATCGATGCGGAGGGTGGCACTTGGCCGCGGGAGGACAGCGGGCTGTGGCGGAGAGGCCTGCGGGGGAGAAGGGGAGATGGGAGAGCTGCGACGCGACAAATAGAAATGGTCGGCGCGGAGGGGGCACTGGGCTGCTGGGGGATTGAGGCGGCCGGGGGCGGTGGCGGTGGCCCGCGGAGGAGGTGGGTGGCCTGCACCGCGACAAATAAAATTGTCGGCGCGAAGGGGCGCTGCGGCGGGGAGGGGTCGGGGAGGGGGGCCGCGACGCGATATATAAGGTAAACGGTGCGGAGGGGGCACTGGGCTGCTGGAGGACAATGGGGACAGGGGGGCGGGGGCGGCGGCCTGGTGGGGGGGGGCGGGGGTGGGGGGAGGTGGGAGAGGGGGGTTGGGCGGGGGGCTGCGACGCGGAAAATCAAGCGGTCGGGGCGTGTGGGGGGTCATTGGCCCTAAGAGGCCCCCAGTAGAGCTCCAAGATGCCCCCCCACGAGGGCACCGCGAAGGCAAAACTAAACATTGCCCTGAGGTTTTTTGTTTTAGATTTTAGCACTCTGGCCGTTTAGGGCTTCGGATGCTCCAAGGCGGCTCAAGAGGCCCCTAAGAGGGCCCCCAAACGGCCCAAGAGGGGCCCAAGACGGCCTGAAAAACTTCCAAGACGGCCCAACAGAAACCCAGAAATGGGAAACTCGACCCGAGAGTTCGCGCTCTCCGCCCCAACATGAACCCAAGGACCGCCAGCAGACCCTCAGGGGGCCCCCCAGAAGCCCCCGAAGACCAGCATGAAACCCAAATGAGGCCCTGGGTGGCCCCGAAGAGGCCCCGAGACACCCCCAAAACCGCATCGGGAGCGGGGCGGGGGGCTGCGACGCGAACAAAACAATGGTCGGGGCGAAGGAGGCATTGAGCTGCTGGAGGACAGTGGGGGCAGGGGGGCGGGGGCGGGGGCCTCGGCGGGGACGGGGTGTAGGGGCGGCGGCATGCCGAGGGGGGGCGGGCAGGGGGGAGTGGCTGCTGCGACGCAATGGAGGACAATGGGGACAGGGGGCGGTGGCGGCGGCGGCGGTCTGTCGGGATGGGGGGGCGGCGGGTGAAGGGGTGGCGGTGGGAGGGAGGGGGCGGGGGGGGGGGAATTGCGACAGTCGGGGCGGAGGGGGCACTGTGCTGCCGGGGGACACTGGGGACAGGGGGGCAGGAGCGGGGGCCTCAGTGGGGACAGGGGGTATGGGGCGGTGGCATGCCGAGGGGAGGAGGGTGGGGAGGGGTGGGTGGGGAACGGTGGCGGTGGCGGTGGCCCGCGAGGAGGGGATGGGTGGGACTGCGACGCGAACAAATGAAATCATCGGGGCGGAGGGGGCGCTTGGCTGCCGGAGGACACCGGCGGCGGGCGGTGGCGGGGGGTGGTGGGGTAGGTGGGGGGTTGCGACGCGAACAATAAAGTGGTCGGGGCGAAGGAGGAATTGGGCTGCGGGAGGGCAGCGGGCGGTGGCGGACGGGCCGGGTGGGGGGGCGGGTGGGGGAGGGGGGGGGGCGTGCGAGTGGGAGGGTGGGATGCAATGGTCGGGGCGGAGGGGGCACTGGTCTGCTGGTGGACAGCGGGGACATTGATGACTGGGGATAATGGGCGCCAGCCTGCAGTTGGGAGGGGGGTCGGGAGGGGGGTGCGACGCGACACATACAATTGCCGGAGCTCCAGACACCCCGTGCAAGATAATACATGGCAACACATACCACAATGTCCACGCGCGCGCACATGCCGAGATCATACCACATACACACAGTGATGTGTGGTGCTAGCATGTCAACACACTCTGCACGCGTGTATTTGCTGAGCTCACAGAAACTATCTGATTTTAACAATATCGTCCAGAACCCGCGTTCTGATCTCACCATGCTGTGTACGGCGTTGATTCTGCATGCTCTCAGAACACCAATCCGTACCACACGATAGCATGTTGGCCAGATGCGCGCGTTGCCACGCGCGCGTGTCGAACTCCTTCCAACACCATTGGTTTTTGACGCATTTCAAGATATAGCTTTTCAGGAACATTCGACCACCAACCATTTTCAACAACACGTCTGCCAACTGTGTGAGAGTTTTTTTTTTGCGCGCGCGAACTCATCACCCTCATCATCGCTATGGCATCACCGCTGGTCATTTTTTAATTTGTTTTGTGAATCGCCGCCATTGTAGCCATCAACAGCACAATCACCCTTACCACCGACACGTGGACATCATCATCGCCATCGTCGTCACAAGCATCGGCAGCGTCATTGGCCTTGCTGTCGTCGTCGTTGCCATCGTTGCCACCATCGTCACCGGCACCATCGGTATTATCATCATCGTTGTGTCGGCGTCATCATGAAATCGCGCACGTCCGAGTCACCGACCCGCACTGCCCTGTTCGCGCGCCTGCGCTGCCGTAGAGACGCGCTGGGATGTTCCCACAGGGGAGCGCCATCGCGGCCGCATCGGTTGTTCCAAACCAGCCGTTCGCTCTGCGAGCGAGCGTGCGCGAGCCTGCGCGGCCGTAGAGATGCACGGGCAAGTGAAAATCAATAACCGCAATCGTGGCCGAACTGGTCTTGCCAAACAAAGCGTGGGCTGGAGGGTGGCATGTTTACGCGAGAAGTGGGGTTGACGACTTCAAGTTCCCAGT